CAGAGAACCTTTAAGCAAGTACATTGTAAACCTTGTTTACAACATTGCCGTATGACTGTCCCACGTAAGAGAAATACCCACCACCTTTTGTCAATATCGTTGGAACCACTTTTTTTTCATGTGCAGCAAAATTTCCATAGTGATTTTGATGAGCACTATTCTATTACTCTAATGTTCACTGTTATTTTAGTTGTAAATATTTCTATTATCTTAACACCCACCAAATATTGTTAATTGGTGGTGGTGGTACAGTACTGAAAAATACACCTGAAATTCAGTAACTTTGGAAGATGAGGCAGATGTAATTTAAAAGCCACTAAGAAGGCAAGTAAATGAGACACATGCGATGCTATTAATTTAGGAGCAAGCATTCTGCCAAATATTAAAGATGATGCTGAGAAAATATAGGGCAGCTTTAATGCAAAAATGAGCATAAGCGCAGTAGATTTAACAGCTCCATAACTCATCCTTTCTAATTTATGTTTACTCTTAGGAAGAAATTTTTCTAGAATATGCACATTTTGAAGACTGCTAAGTCTTCAGGTATACATCTCTTAGATCAAATAAATCATGTAGGAAACTGTTCTAGGTAAATTCAAGTGAGGAAATCCTGGAGACGTTTGGAAATGCAATGTTGAAATACAAAAAAGGCTCAAGCTGGAGCTGTAAAGTTGGAAGTTATCCGTGTAAGATCAAGAGTTTCAATCATGAGAAAGGATGGACTTGCCAAGCAGAGAGTACACATTTAAGAGAAGGTCAAGGACATAATCTTCTGAAGCCACCAAATTCAGAGGACAGAAAGAGGAAGCAGTTAGGGAGGACCCTTACCGAGAACCGAGAACGTGTCAAGAAGGTTCCAAGCATATACTTCTAGCATCGCATTTAATCCTCCCTACACCCCTGCCAGACTGTTGTATACACCTGGCTGTATAATGAGGGCCATAAGAAATGAAAGGTGAATCAGCCTAGCCCAGACAGTGCAGGTCTGTCAGATTAAGGCATGGGTTAGCCTGACATAGAAAAATCAACTGCACAATTTCAAGACAGAGAGGAGAGAAACTGAGGTAACTCAGATGAAATGAACCAGTGCCCTCTGTCTCAGTAAATGACACCAGCATCTACCCAGTTTGCAAAGCCACCAATCCAGGAGTTACCTTTCACCTGTCCTGTCCTTTTCTTAGCCCCTCATCAAATCCATCAGCAGGTCCTAGGACTTCTACCTGAAGTTACAACCTTATCTTTAAACCACATCTGCTGTCCACAACCTTAGACTAAGGTACACCTATCTCTCCCCTAGAAAGCTCCAGTCACTTCCTATCCTGTGGCTACTCTTTCCGAGATGCAAGCCGTTTTGCCTACAGCAATTAACAACGTAACATGAATGCTATCGGCATTTGGGGTATTAATTAATCACTGTTCATTGTTGGGACTTCATTGTTGGGGATGTCCTGTCCATTTCAGAATATTTAGCATCCCTGGCCTCTGTCCAGTAGCATCCCAAGTAAATGCCTCCCCTTACTTCCAAATGTCCCTGCGTGCGTGGTTGGGAAGGGGATAATACTGTTCCACCCCACCTCCCGCCATCCCCAGGTCAAGAACCACCGAGCCTGAGTGATCTCTTACGGTAAATCAGATTATGCCACTGCTCTGCTTAAACCTTTAGTGGCTTCCCACTGCATTGAGAAAAAACGCCCTAACTCCCGAGGATCTCAAGGCTGTTCATGACCTGCCCCCATTTGCTTCTTCAATCTCATTTTCTATAGCCGTCCTCTTTCTCCTCTTAGCTGCTCCAGTCCAGCTTCCTTTCTCATCCTTAGCCACATCAACCTGTTTCCTGCCTCTAGGCCTTTGTGCCTATTCCCCTGGAACAGCTTCTCCCTTGGCTCTTCTTGACTAGCCCTTCTCTTTTTCTTCAGGATTAGGCACCAATGATAACGTAGGTGTGAGGCTGCCAGTGGCCATCCTGGCTAGGACTGAAGGCAAGCACTGACGACAGACAGAAAAAGGGAAGGAAGGAAGAAAGGAGGGAGGGAGGGAGAGGGCGAGAAGGAGGGAGGGAGAGGGAGAGAGGGAGACAGAGACAGAGAGAGAGAGAATGGAAATGATACCTTTTGACCCCCTGGATTCCACTGTGCCCTAGGTAAGACTCATCCATTTGAATTCCCAGTACACAGGCAGTGACATTTCCCTTTCTGCTTAAGCTGCTTTGGGTTGGGTATGTACCACCCGCCATGGAAAACACTGACTACACCTGTGTGTAGCAAAGGTGGAAAGCGGACGAGTCTCTTTTAGTACTGGGTGAAAGGTGTGTTTTCAGGATTCCGTTGCAAGCTCCCTTAATGAAGGTCTAGACTCTTTGGCAGAGTTGCCCAAACCATTTCCAGCTCTCCACTAACTATCTCCCATGGCCCCCACCCCATCATATCTTTCTTCTCTTTCTTCTTCCATCTCTTCCCATCTTTTGCCCGAAGGATGCTCAAAACTCCTCTTTCCTGGAAAAGAAATCTTCCCTCTACCCAGTTATCCTGAGGCAGGAGAGTAGATGGGCTCCAGGCTAGACATTTACAGCTACTCTCCTGTTCATATTTATTGAGGCAGGAGAATAGATGGGCTCCAGGCTAGACATTTACAGCTACTCTCCTGTTCATATTTATTGAGGCAGGAGAATAGATGGGCTCCAGGCTAGACATTTACAGCTACTCTCCTGTTCATATTTATTGAGGCAGGAGAATAGATGGGCTCCAGGCTAGACATTTACAGCTACTCTCCTGTTCATATTTATTGAGGTAGGAGATAGATGGGCTACAGGCTAGATATTTTTGCAACCGGCCTCCGGTTTATACTGTGAGATAGAAATGACAAGAGGAACTGGGTAAATAGCTGGACTTTGTCTCCTGTGGACACTTTAAGATAACAGTAATGGCAGGGGCAGAGAGGGGCTAAGCCCTGCTCAGGTAAAAAGTCAAGAGATCACATATTTCTCATCCTTGGAGTCAGGGAGACCTCAACTGCACATGCACAGAAAGGCTCCTCGAGGGTCAAAAAGAGTAGTGGGGGGACGCCAGACTATAAGTTTTGCTAACTTCCCAGGGACCCTCGCACTGAAATCCATCTTGGCTAAAGGATGCATACGCACATAGGGAAGGACCCTGAGACTAATCAGCTATGGGGGCAAAACAAGATGACTGGCCAGAGGAAAACAAAGACCAGGAAGACTGCCCCCTTACAAATGATTTAAACTCCCTGGAGGCATCACTCTCTCTGAGCTTGCCTGTGAGGCTCTCTGCATGTATTCTGCTTTTCTAATAAACGCCTTACTCTCCTTTGTACCTTCTGTCTCCTTGTCAAATGTTTTTTTTTTCAAGGCAGACAAGAACTGGGGCCCAGACTATAGCCACAGCTTCTCGTGGTCTAGTGGTTAGGACTTGATGCTCTCACCGCCGCAACCAGGTTTCCATCCCTGGTCAGGGAACAAAAGCCTCACTGCAAGCTGCCCCTCTCTGCTGTGTCTGTCCAAAATCAATCCTTTTAGATTACATCCTCTCTCTCTCCCACCCTTCACCATCAAACTGCTCAAAAGAGATTACACACTCCCCTCCATTTTCTCATCATCTCCACCAGTTAACCCTGCCACCAGGCTTTTATACTCATCCTTCCAGTGAAACTGCATCTGCCAATGGTCACCATCACCTCCTAGTTGGTCAACTAACCCATGGCCTTTTCTTGGTCCTCACTCTTATTGCTCTTTCTGCAGCATTTAGCCTAGCTGACCACGCCTTCCTCATGTCCCCTGGCTTCTGAGATACCTAAAGGTTTTCCTAACTTCCTGGCCATTCTTTCTGGTTACTGGGGCAAAACCTCTAGGCAAGAGTGATAAGGTGAGTGCCAATGCTTGATTCAATCTCCTTGGTTCAAGTGAAGCCACTCAACTGATTATGAGTCCTACTCCTTTAAAACTTCACCTGAAAGGGCCCATCACTTAGGCTGCTCAGAACAACCTAATGCTAGTAGATAAAAATTGAAATGGTCTAGGCACCATTCTATAATGGGAACTGTTTATTTCTTTATGCTCTCTGAACACTTGGATAGTTTCTACAAATGTCCACTGGATTTACCTGTCCAGGTATCCCTCCTCTATTCATACTATACACCAGAACTTTAACTTGAGGTCTTAAAATGGATTGGCTAGAAAGACCAATCCTGCATCATAAAATGAAGTATATATAGTACAACTAACAGTTATTTTAAGCATAAATAATGAACAGATATAATTAAAGTGAGGCTCCTGTGTTAATTGCTGATCCTTCCTTACCTGGGTATTGTGGGAAACCAATGGTACAAAGTTCAGGTACTTGATCCCAATTTAGTGATATTTTCTGACCATTATGAAATGAAAAGAATTATTTTCTTATAAGGAATGATCAGATCTTATGAGTTATGAGCAGAACCTAGTCTCACTTTTTCCTGTGTGTAGTAATATAGCAGATTTTTGTTCTATTTTGTTCCTATTTTCACTCTGATTTTGATTAGGAACACTTGTGGTGTGGTTGCTGGAAAGACAGACCACACACACGTGAGCTTGGATGAAGGAGGCAATAATCATGACCACATTTCAGCTTAGAACCTTCTTTTTTAAGGAAGGTCCTTCAGGCATTTTTATTAACAAGCAGATATAAACTTGGCAAGAGCCCCTTGCAAAATCGCAGTTCCAATTATTTTTGTGAGGTCAAGAGAAAGTAGAGAACACAATGGTGGTGGCTTAGCATCAAAACAATAACAATCAAGTTGCTGACCTTATGCCTTCCATCAAACATAACTATCACCCGCTCTGTTCCCCGACCTCCGAAGGATGACGAGAAGCTGGCATTCAAGACTTAACATTAATCTAGACCACACGTAGCACTTGCTTTGATAGCAGACACAGCTCCCACCCATACCCATACTTGGACAAAACGGTGGCCATGTTCTCTGTGCCAAACCTCCTCATCTCTGACCGTCTTCTAGATCTTGAAGTATCTGATTCTCCCCGGGCAAGGGCGGACCACTGGAACTGGACCTTCAGGAGCAGGAAT